CATATTTATTTATTTTCAGTGGTGGCCAGTTTCATTATCGTGACTATTATAAAAAATAATAAATATTGTATTTTAAGTCTTGTAATGTTTTGTATATAGACACATGCGCAAACACACACACATTACATACATTATTTACATTTTCAGGTTGCATGCACATTGTTTGCATTTTGTATCTCCTTACAGATTTGTCAATAAATATTTTTTTGTATATTACAAATTGATCGATTGTAGTTTAATTGGCTGTGTTACTAATAACCCAATACCAACAAATGATATATTACAGCTCACTACAGCTGCATTTATTTGATCAAAAATACAATAAAAACTGTGAAATGTTATTACAATTTGCAAGAACTCTTTTGTATTTTAATATATTTTAAAATGTAATTTATGCCTGTGATGAAAAGCTGAATTTTCAGCATCGTCTTTAGTGTCACAAAATCCTTCAGAAATCATTCTAATATGTTAACTTGCTGCTTAAGAAAACATCTAATTATTATCAATGTTTTTTTTTTCTTTTTAAGCTTGAATGTGTCTGCTTTCCCTTTTCAGAACTATTATGGCATCCGACCCTCTCTCCATTAAAGCCTCTCTATTTCTGGGTTGTCGTCCTCATGTGTACAGTGTGCACTCAGTACAGGAGGGAGATGCACATTAACAATAGCCCCGCCGGTTCTGCTGGCCCTGTGGCCCTCAGGAGCATGTGGCCTAACGGGGGGATAATAGCTCTCTACTCAGATTATCTAGGTCACTTTTTGTGTGTTTTCTGCGTCCCGTGAGGGGGGGTCCCATGTGTTTGTGTGTGTGTATGTTTGGGTGGAGAACAGGGTGCATTGTGGACCAGCATTAGCGACGGCTCCACGGTGAGGAAAGTGGACGTTCCCTTTTATGGTGCATCATTTTGTTTTTCTTCATCTTTGTGTTTGTTTTCTTTTCATTTGCCTTTTATCTGTTTTGATTGCTGTTTCCAGATGAGATATTAATCGCTTAAAAAGAAATGAACGGTGGACAGCGAGAGAAAGACGGCAAGGACGCAGTTATAGCATTTCAGTGCCAACTGTGTTCAACACTATCGGCGTCCTGCTCAGTAGGCGACACTGAAGCGTGGTGTGGTTGTTTTGGGTCCTGTAGAGTAACTGAAGTCATGGTGAGTGTGTATTTGTGTTGACAGGGTGTCGGTCATGCAACCTCTGTGAAGGGAGGAGCCATGGACAAATCCAAGGTGGACATCCCAAACTCCAGGACTGCACAAGTCGACTTAAGGTGAGGGAGTTCGTGTATGCTTAGTGTATGATTATGTATAAACACTCAAAATGGGGGTATGAAATAATAATAATTGAGTATTCATTTCAAGCAGCAGTCTGCACTGAGATGAATTTGGATCTTTGTTTTGTGAAAGGTTCTTTGTTGTCAGATTAAGGTTATTTCTGTGTGTATGTGGGTGGACATGAGGTCTTTGTTGACACATTTTATATGTACTTATCTTTATATATCTTTATTTATATGTTGTTATTTTTTATAAATATTTAAATACATAGATATTAACATTTATTAACTACTGTGTATTTACTTACATTTATTTTACATATTTATTTTTCATAGTTCAATTGTTGATTTATTAATTAATTAATTAATTAAATTCTTTAAATTTTAATTTAGTTTGCATTAATTTTATTTATGTATTCTGATCAACTGATTATGTGATATTTATTTTTAAAAGAGCCTCGTTTAACAAGTGTTTAAGGATTGTAAAGCACTTTTTTTAAAGCATTGAACTGTATACTATTTCAACTGTTCATTCATGTTTAAAAGTCAGGTTTAATGTCACATACTTAAACAAGCTTTTTAATGCTTATCTAGAAGCAGCTTTTCCTATTGAAATTCTTATCAAGCTGAAATAATGGAAACAGCAGAACTGATCTTAGCCTGGAAGGTTTGGCTCTTCTGAGCACTGTGATTTCAATAGATGATTTCACGTTGAGACGTACGAGAGCGGCACAAGAGCTTATGTGTGTATATCGAAGTTCCCGGTCTTAATATGTACACTTGTTGCCATAGTCACGGGACGGGAGACGTACATATGTCACGTTTTCTCCATTCGTTCCTCTTATCGCAGGTCATGTGACCTCATCTCTTCTCCCTGAGAGAGGGATGGAGTTTATCTCTCGCCTCTCTTCACCGCTTCTGTCAATCAGCATTACTGATGCACACACACACACACTTTTACAGCTCATTAAACATTGAAGTGGTATACAGTATTGCATCACCTCAGCTGAAGCCCCTGAGGTCCATCTGGGATTCAATCACGTTTTAATAAGAGTGCTTATGTATGTTCTCTGTATTCTCTGAGATAAAATCACTTCCCATTCCTACTATATAGTTATTATTAAACTTTTTAGGCCTAGTCATTTTCTTCAGCTGGATAAGTTGGGTAGATGCTGTGGGTGAAGTCCGATAAGATGCCATTTAATTTGACACAAATAAAAATGAAGCTTTGAGGGAATAGTAGAGCATTCAAGTTGACTGTTCAGCCAACAAATATTGAAATATGTCTCTTCACAAATTTCCACTGGACAGAAACTGTGGAAAATATTATTGAATGGTGTGTACTTTGGTGCCTCAGTCACAGCTTTTTTTGTATGATTTACACATGATATTACCAAAGAAAAAATATAAATAACAGTGACAGAAATTTCTTGTCTCTGGCTTTAGTTCGGATGCCTCATTCAGTGTACGTTTATAGGAGTTTTTTTTACTTTTATCATCCATTAGGCAAATATTGTGTAATAAGTATGTAATATGAGTTTGTTCAAATGTAAGAAAATGTAATAACAGACAACTTGGAAAACACCACTAAATAAATAAATTACAATAAACTACAATAAACTAAAGTAAAATAGTGACAAAGTAAATAGTAAAATATGAATATTAAAAATATTAAAAAACAAACAAAGAAACAAAAAACACAACAAAAATAAATAAATATAAAATAAAATAAATGGTTAATAAAATGAAATGTTCCTCTCTCTCTCTCTCTCTCTCTCTCTCTCTCTCTCTCTCTCTATATATCTCTATATCTATCTCTATCTCTCAAGACGTTGGCTTATACCCTCAGATTAGGATCAGATAAAAGTATGATACTTTAGTCCCAGTGCAACACTCTTTGATTCAAACGGCACTTTAGTGCTTACCTCTGGCTGTCAGTGCCTCGTGACAGATTGCATGCAGAGTTCAATAAGTGTTTTCATTTATAATCTGTCGCTACAGCCTTCTCTCATTTCAAACATTTCCCAAATAACAAGAGATGCTCTTCTGACAAACAGGCCCCAAAAGAAAAATATCAAGCATCTGACAGCTCTGCAGCTCCGACACAATAGTATATATATATATATTCAAGCAAGAGTAATCGCAGAGACATTAGAAAACACCACAAAAAGTAAAATAAAACAAACTAAAATAAAGTAAAAAATAAATGCAAATATTAAAAATATTGAAAAAAAAAATATATATATAAACTAAATATATCTAACTAAATCTGCAAGATTTTTTTTGCCTGTTTTATCATCAGCCAGACAAATACTGTAAATCTGTAATACGAGTTTGTTCAAATTTAATCAAGAGTAATAACAAACACCTTACAAAACATATAAAGAAAAGAAAAGAAAATGAATATAAAATAAAATGAAATAAAATAAAATAACAAAATAAAATAATAAAATAAAATGAAAAATGCATATGATAAAACTAAAACTAAAACAAAAAAAACAAACAAAAATAAACATAAATATGAAATAGCAAGACATTAGTGGCATAGACAGCTAATTTAGGTTCAGTCAGTTTCTGAGGGTGTATGATTCATGTGAAATTTCTTTCATTTGTTTTTCAGATAATTGGTGGAATTGTGGTATGAGACTAGAAAGTATTTCATGAAATATTTTTCTCTTTTATCTTGAAGTTGATCACAGGAACAGAGAAAGTGTTTTTCTCAGCGCACACAAACACTCTCTCGGTGTGTCGTGCTGTTGTGGTGTGTGAGCAGTAATAAGCTCTGTATCTGTCTGATGAGCTGCTGCCAGTCTCAGTTTTTATTCATGTAAATTCATGGACGCTCCGCGCCACACTGGGCACATGCAAATTGGCAGAGGGGTTTTTATTTTGGGAGGAATGCAAATGTAGGAGAGGTTTTATTTTTGTGGTGATGCACTCTGCAGATCAAGCCGTGCGGAAGAATGCCTGATCTCACTAGTTGGTTGAGTTTGTTTGTGTGAGTTGGTAGTTTGCATTACCATTTACCAGATGTGGCAGCGCTTCGTAATGTTACATTGACAATAATCTGTAATTAGACCAGCAGAAAGTCACATGGAAGTTTATTTTTGCGCCCACTTACAGGAATGGCCTGTCTGACAGGTATTGACAAATCTTTTTCTTTTTTACTTTTTAGGGTTAGTACCGTATTGGCCCGAATATAAGACGACCGCGTTTTTTCAGATGTATTTCCAAGAAAAAAATATTGTCTTATATTTGGGACAATACGGTATTTATAGAATATAGAATTTATAATAGTAAAAGTATAATATTTAAAATAGTAAAAATAAATAAATAAATAAAAATATCTATCTATCTATCTATCTATCTATTGTCCGTCCGTCCGTCCATCCGTCCATCCATCCATCTATCTATCTATCTATTGTCCATCCATCTGTCCGTCCGTCCATCCATCCATCGTCTGTCTGTCTGTCTATCTATCATGATAAAATAAAGTAAATAAAAACAATCAAATAAAAAAGTTTCGGTTAGTAAGTAACTGTGATTTGTCTAGCTTGTCTGAATCTTCCAGAAAAGCCTCTTTTTTTCTGACAAAGATTGAGGAGCTCACATCCATCCCCCCCTCTCTCTCTCTCTCTCTCTCTCTCTCTCTCTCTCTCTCTCTCTCTCTCTTTCTCTCTGTCATCTCCTCCTCTCCTCTGTTCTGTCTTTATTGTGATGAGAGATGCAGGTAGGCACCTTTGCCTTCGGCTCTCATCTCAGACTCACTGAATGGCAGTGACTCCGCTGGCTTTCGGCTCATTTGCTTGGTCATTAATGTCGTCCCGCAGGACATAAACAGCAAATGGATTTGCAGTGTGTGTTGACAAGAGTACAAAGTAGCTGGTGAATACTTTAGCTTTTGTGTGTGGGTTTGTGATTTAAATGCACTGACTGCTGTAGGCCAGAAACATACTATTCACAAGTACACGGATGCGGATGCTGGTTCAATGCATTGCAAACATGTGTTTCATATACTTGCATGCATTATTGCGTTACTGTGGCAGTACCAAACATCAAGTATGAGGGTAAATGCTCAAAATGATTGTGCCATTAAACTGATAAAACAGGTTTTTGGTTTAGTTCAAGGTTTTTTTTCTATGTTTTAAATATGTTTTAATTTGTCTGTGTACTTTTGTTTGTGTGTGTGTCTGTGTATTTGTGTATTTGTTTAATTATTTATTTACCCACTTGAAGTATTTATTTTATTTTATTTTTTTTAATTCTTTTTTATTTGTTTTAAATTTCTTTCTCAATCACATACATTCATATGTATTCTTCCTTATTATTAATTATTTTTGTTTGTGTGTATGTACGTATGTGCGTATGCATGTATGTATGTATGTATTTATTTACTTATCCACTTGGAATTTTTATTTTATTTTATATTTTATTTGATTTTATTTGATTTTATTTAAAACAATATCAGTTTAACAGTACATTTCCTTTGCTATAATTAAATTGGACATTTTTAAAGTTTTACCACTTCCAATCTTTTATTTTATTTTTATTTTTTAAATTTCTTTCTAATTTTCACATTTATCTGTGTGCTTCTGCATTGTCAAGTACTTGTGTGTATTTATGTATTTATGCATGTACTGTATATATGTATGTATGTATTCTTGCAATCCAATTTTTTTGACTGGCAGACAATACATGGGTGAAAACCTGTATACTTTGATTGTGAAATTTTACTCTTTCCTCCAAAAACACCTTAGCATTAATTAGGCCACCCACAACACCCTTGCAACCACGTAGCAAACACTTAAAATGGCATAATATTGTTGTAATGGGGTTTGCATGGGCAAACGGCACTCAAATTTACAAAATTTAGTGTATACTGTGTGTATTTGTTTGTTTCTCAATTAGGGTTGGGCCGATAGACGATGCCATCATCCATCGCCGATGGCTGATAGACATCACGATGTTGAGCCGGCATCGTGATAACCCCCCTCGACCCCTTGCAATCCGCCGCATCCCAATACCGTATTCGGAAAGAAAATGACATGCATACGGAACCCCTAAAGGGAATAAATACGTGATGGGAGGAAAATATATATTTCAATATTTTCCCTCGCTGTTATATCATTGGGTAATTATCCTACATATATTTCAGGCATCAGGGAGCTGCTATTATACCTGGCATTAAAACTTCTTTTGAATGCATGATGGCTTTTTAGTTTCACTTTCACTTTCGAGATTCGCGATCGCACGTACTATGTTTATACTATGGAGTAATGTAACAGGCAACCGTTACACCGTGTCTACACTGGACGCGACAGTTATCATGTCACGCCGCACCGTGCCGCATCAGCTAAAGTTTGTCTACACTGGACGCGACAAAGTGACCTCTGAAAATCATTTGAAATTTATGTCAGCACGTCATAAATAGAATGCGGCAGCAGTTTACTGTAGGGGATTTGTCGTGTCGCACCGCTCCACATCCAGTGTAGATTACTGATTATAATAAGTTCACTGATCTATATATGAATCTCTATTATAGATCAGTGGTTCTATAGTATTTTGCTGTGCCACTCGCATCCGGTGTAGACACGGTGTTAGGAATCGTTATTTGTTTTCCGTGCCTTATAAGAATTCACGCTTCAGGTACACACCCCCCCCATTTTGTAGACATCGCCCAACCCTAGTTTCAATGTAAGCGTAAGGTCAGAGGAGTGTCATTGAACACTATAGCGTTACACACACTTCGAGAGCTCTAGGAAATGATGCAGGTGACAGGAGGAGCACTCCATTGATATCCAAGACAGTTCCCACCGTAATGATTTTTTGGCTTGCCATTTTGACGTGTGACTGTTGTTCTGCTGATGTAATTGCATTCCGCTGAAAGTTTTCACTTCCAAAATATATTTTTCAGTCTGTGGAAGTCGTTTTCCTTTTTTTCTGCCAAGAAAAATGCAACTAACCACCGTGACTGTTGTGCTTTTCTTACTGCAGCAGCCTCACGCGGACGGTGGAGATTTCTGGAGACTTCGGGCCTCTGGGCATCAAAGTCATATCACACTGTTCCTCACTGAGTGGAAGGTAAAACACACACACACACACACACACACACACACACACACACACACAGACAGACAGACAGAGACACAGACAGATTCATGGCATCTTTACACACTTGCATTGATAATGGACCATGAGATGCACTATACAAATTCTGCTGTTGGATTTTCAGGTATTAACTTTTAGTTTGTAGACTTTGTTGTTTAGAAAAAAAACAAAACTTTTATACAGCTGACAATCTAGCAGCGTGAGTTTAAAGGGATCATTCACCAAAAAATGAAAATTCACTTGGTATTTTATGTCAGCATCCACCATTATGTGACAAGTTGATCAGTACGTGTGATTTACCGTAATTAAATTGGGCTTTTTTATGTTTGAATCTTTTATTTTATTTCATTTCATTTCATTTCAAATTATTTTGTTTTGTTTTATTTTATCCATTGGTCATTTTATACAACATATATGATATAATTATATTATACAGTGGGTACGGAAAGTATTCAGACCCCCTTAAATTTTTCACTCTTTGTTATATTGCAGCCATCATGTACTATAATTAAACTTTCTTTTTTATGTTTTCCCACTTTGGATTTTGTTTTGTTTTATTGTTTTTTGTTTTGTTTTGTTCCGTTTAGTTTTGGCCATTTTATTCAACACACACACACACACATTTTTTATTTTTTTTAATGATTTATTTTATTTTTCAGCATTGGCCATTACATTAAAGTAATATCAGTTGACTACTGGTCTAACTTAAGTAAATTTAAATAAAAAAAAATATGTTTCACTCTATAAAGGAGTAGCATTACCTTATGTCACATTTATAAACACTGTCTAGGGCATGTGTGCATTACTTAGTAGTTTCGCTTTCATAATATCAAATTTATTAGTCAACAGTGTCCCATTCATGTTCGTCCATAAACACGCACTCACACACTTACAGGAAGTAGCTAGGAGAATGGCTCTTTCAGGCTGGATGAACAGGCCAAAAGTTAAGTGCTCAGGGCAAGGACACACACGTGCTGCATGACAGGAAGTCCTCCCTGGGTGGACGCTGACATGCTTCCTGTTGTTGGGGCCTGTGCGCCCTGTTGAGCTCCAGATGGATACAGACCCTCTAAAAAAAAACTGTTGTCTTGGTGTAAGAATTGTTTTGATTATTAGTACTAATAAATGTATCATATTTCTATCGTCAGCATTAAAAGCGTTAGCTTATGTGTTGCATTGAGCCTAATTAGTGATTTACAAGCTGAACAAATTTGTGTGTGTATAGTTGTAAAACCGCGAATGAAGCATCAGAATTTACGTTGTTGATTTCACGAACAATTTAAAGTAGAGAGATTCAGTTCTAGTGATTTCACTATGGTTGAAGTCGGCATAGTTCCAGTGTATTTTTGTTAAACTATGTTTTACACCATTAGGAACAAGACACTCAACTGTGGTAAAATCTGTAATGCACCACCAAAAGTTTAGTTTGACACATTTAACACGGCTTGAATTGTGTCAAATGACATCTGCTGTTAGTAATGCTATCCATTTTATAGGTTTTTATAAAATAAAAAGTCTGATTGGATTAACCACGTGAAGTCATTGTAAAATATGATTTATGCAAATGTAGCCGTATATCAATTGAATGTCATTAGTGTAGTGCCATATTTAATTTTATGCAAATGAAAATTGGACCGTGAGGGGCAACTAATCAGAAATTCCTTCATTTTCAATTGTGTTGTCTAAAATTTGGCATCTGTCCTTACTAAAATCCATTTAAATTCCAAATTAAAATGACAGTACTTCGCATATATAACAATGTTTGATCATTGTTGATTGGTACCAATAATCACCATATAGATGGGCAAAAAAAAAGTTTAATTTTATTTGTTAGTATCATCAAAAGTGACAACATTTATGTTATTTATTTTACAAATTATTTACAAAATTACTCATGTTGAAGTCGACATGAAATGGAAATTCACCCTATTGAATTTCTATTTATTTTCACATTTTTTTTTTTTTTTGCTAAATGCATCTTAATGATCTTATTGTGAACTGTAAAATCTGTAATGCACAACCTTTCTTGGTGTATTATTTTAACACAATCACACTGGTCTGGTAAATTCCAGGCTGATCTTATGTAGTAAGATGGAAGTGTTGAGAAGTGATTCCCACTGGAAGTCCTTGAATGGTGGTAATGAAGGAGGCATGAATTCATGTTATCTACAAATATGCATTACAGAACAGTAAAGGTCCTTGCACACTGATTCCGTAATTTTCGTATGCGTTTTTCCGTTTTTTTCGTATTCGTCATCCTTTCCTATCAAAATGCTTGCCAAGGATGCGAAAACGCAGAAAATCGAACCTGGTCCGAATTTTTTTATGACGGACGAAAGTTTCAGAGGCAGTGTGTAAACGTGATTGACACAACGTAAGGTCGTATTTATTTTTCAACGTGCAAAAATTTTGGATGAAAAATTCGGACAGAGACCTTAAGACATGTTTTCACTCTTGATGTTTTAGGTCTCAAGAAGTGTTTCGCCAAGCCATGTCCTTGCCCACCATACGTTTGGAGGTGCTTCCTGTCGCCAACAGGCTCCTCTATGAAAAGAGCCTCATCGGGCAGCTTTTCAACAACACCGAACCAAACCCTGCGGTCCCTAAAGTCAAGAGTCCTTTCTTGGTTCATAAGCTCACTCCGAGCAATACATCGACGCCGTCTCCAGAGCCTCCTGCATCACAGACCCCACCCCAAAAAGAGGAGGAGCTTCAGCCTTCAAGACACACCCCCGTTCAAACGGATCATCACAGAGCCACGCCTTCTCCTCCAGTCAGTGCGTCACCTACCCTGAAAGATGGCAGCGAGAGCCCCACCCCCAAAAAGACCCCGGCCCTCGTCACGCTGGTTAATATGATCAACAAAAAGTCTGCGAAGGAAATGAAGATCGATTTGAAGAAAGGTAAGCTGGATGTGAAATCAGATCAGTACCCATTGAATTAAAAAAAGTTTTTGCTCAAAAATTATATCACATTATGCACATAAAATGGGTTGCGAATGTCATTTCATGTTGTTTTAAAGTTTGAATAGTAGAAACTCTGTTCAGTTGACCAGAAGGTGCCGTCATGAGCCCTGCGATTTGACCCATGTCAAAACTGCTGCATAGCAACGTCTGTACTTGTTCTTCTCCCTTTTTTCCTCTCCTCCCTGTCTTTGTCGCTCCTCTCATGTGATTGACAGCTGCTATTGTTTAAAACTTTAATGTCAGGTGCTCTTCTGGGACTCGAGATTTCATCATTTGCCATCTTTAGTATGCTGAATAAGCCGCTCTCCTCTATGACATCTCTCCCTCAAGTGTGTGTGAGCGAGAGACAGAGCAATTCTCGGCTTCAGTAATCACACGTGTCCCTGCAGACGAGAGACTAGAGGGAATCGCTTTCTTAGCATGATTCTTTAAGCCTCTTTTTTTATTTCTTCTCTTACTGTGTTCCTGGGTGAATCTTATGAAACCTGTCAATGACATGTCCAGGTCATATTTCAGCCCAAAATAAAAAAAAATAAAATAAAAAAAAATATATATGTATGTATGTGTATGTATATATAAGGATATATTATATATAAATATATTAAATTTTTCTCATGCAAATGTCATCCTTTCATTGTGACATTTCATGACAAATATGTATATTTTCCCCAAATTATCATTAATGTAAGAAAATATAATTTGCTTTACTGTCCAATACCAGTAGCAGTACAATAAAATAATAGTATTCTGTTAAAGATGCATGTTTATATATCTATTTGGTAACTACCTTTAATTTATGCTAATTTTACAAAAAATAAATAAATAAAAATAAATTATTGTAATACCATGTTTTTACTAGTTTTTTTAAATGGTAAAAAAATTATGATCTAAAGTGTAAAGATTCTAATTGGAATATTTATTTTCTTATACAATAAATTCTAAAAATAAATATTAATTTTAATTTAATAAATATCAAAATAATTTAATACAGTATAAATAAAAATATGAATATTTATGCAATGAATATTAAAATATAGGTCAAAGACGAAAACGGGTTTAAGCATAAAAACAATAAGTGTAATACTGCTTTAAATTATTGTTGTTTTCCCAAATTAAAAAAAAAGTTTTCTGTTTAATTTAATTGCAATTTTGTTTTTGCTTTTCTGAGCAAAAAATAAATATCATACATTTTTCCCTGATTTACAGAAGAGACCCACTAAAATGTCATTCAGTTTAACAATCTTGTCAGGCATATTCACAACAAAAATCAATTTATGACATTAAAATACTTTAAGTAAAATTACTTTCACCCCAAATACTAATTAGTTGTAATTTTACATTTTTTAAAATTTGCCACTATCCTAGGTTTTGCCCATTTGTCAGTAAGAATTTTTTTACTCAGTTAAAACACAATAAAATGTAATATGCTCCCTTATTCTTTTATATATTTTAATATGTACACGTCAGAATAAGCATGTTGTTTGAATTTTTACATAAATATTGTGTTACACTGAATGACAATGTAACATTATTTCAACCAAATTTTGACATTTTATCCTTCAAAAACTAATTTGAAACCTTAAAAGTAGACACTTTACTTACATTTAATGTGTTTCTATGGACATAAAATCACTTTTGTAAATTTATTTTGATGCGGACATCTTAACGTCTTTGACCCATATACAGTACATATCTATGCAATAAATACACAAATAAATGTAAAACATATGTCATTAATATAAACTAAATATTAATGTTTCTGCATTACAAAAATAAAAAATATATATAAATTTTTTTTTTCTCCCTAGTGATTTTTGGGTGAAATGTGACCCTGACATGTTTCTGTGATATTCGCTCTTCCATCTCTTTTCAGCTTCCCTTCATCCAGTGCTTCAACTTCCTCTAATCACTTTTTTTTCAGACCACACCCTTTTCATTGTTTCTATCGCTCCTTTCACACCATCTCTCTCTCTCTCTTTCCACATCCTGTATCCTGCTCTCTGCATCTCTACTCTCCTGTAGATGTGTTCATGTGTGAAATTAAAGTGCAGAGCTGTCTAATCCCCGCAAGGAAACATTTATCAACGTGCAGGGGTGGAGACGGAGGTGTTCAAACCTCTGCAGAGAAACTGACAGCTTAAACACAGGTTATCAGTCCAGAGTGCTTGAAAGCTATCATCAGCGTACCGCTGACCTTTTGACCTGATCTTGGATCAGATGAGCTTGATGCAGTATGTAAAGATCTATGAGGGTCATAACAGGGAACTGCTCCTTGTATGCTATCATTAAATTTAATATATGTGTTCTTGGCATCATTTCCACCATATTGCTCTCTAGACATCAGTATCTGCTTTTGGAAAACCCATATTCATAGTCCGTAATTTCTAAAGCAGATTTTGGTCATAATAGTGACACTCTACTGACATTGGCTTTTATGAAATTTACTAGTAATAGATATAGAAAACAATGCTATAATATTGGAAAAAAAGTGCACTGAGGTTTCTTTCGTGCCAGTTACAATTTAGAGAACAAAGCCTCAAAAATTCTAATTTTCAAAATCAATGTCAAATTTTCAATTGTTTTGAAGAATGCCAAATTGAATTCAAAGATTAGAATTTTGATTCTGAGAAGTATTTTAAAAGGAACTTTCATTTGCAGTTTTCTTTGGCAGACCTTTCCAAATTTCCAGATTCAACTTCATATCTGTTGACATTCACACCTTTGTTGGTGAAATTTTCTCATTGCATGACGAAAACGATCCGTTCACTTGGTATGAATAGTACTAAGGTGAAAATCCAGGGCAGTATTCCTTACTGTAACTAGATCCTTAGGATGTTAGCAAGTCTTCAGGACACTGTTGAAGGAATTTTAGTGGAACAGTTATGTACTTTTTCAACATGTCTTAAATATCTCCTATATTTTATTTGACACCTTAGTGAGTGTAATTGGGGGTGTAAATGCAAACACACTTTTTTGGTGACCGGAACCTTAGAAGAATGTTATTTTACATCATACGACGGGGTAAAATATTTTCAGACGTTAGTCTAGCTTTTGTTTTCCACACGGCTGAGTATACAACACACTGGTGAAAACGGCAAGAATTTGTGAAAACGGCAAAGAACCATTTGTCTGGTTTTCTGGTTCACTGGGTCATTAAATACATACTTAATGTTTCTGGCCTTCCTCTGTCTGCAGGTACGGAGGGCCTCGGATTCACCGTGGTAACCAGAGACTCGTCCCTTCATGGTCCAGGACCCATTATGGTCAAGAGCATCCTGCCCCGTGGAGCTGCTGTTAAAGATGGGCGGCTCAAGTCCGGAGACCGTATCCTGGAGGTATTACATGCATCCTGCGTCAATGCAGTCACGAGAGCACAACCTGGAAAATGCAAAATCACAGCTTATTTATAGGACATAAAATTATGCTATTTCTCTCCCGCCAGTCATGCAATTAAAAGGTATTGTTTTAATGCAATTTAAAGATATTGTTTCAGAAGGCTTAATGCATCCTTGATGTAATTAGGCCAATTGTCTCTCTTGTATTGCACCTGGCCGTGAGATGGAATTAACACTGACATGTTTGCCATCTCGGCACAGTGTAAATGGAAATTTTGCTCTCCGTTTTGATGGTTACAGGAAATAGCTTTCTCTCTTTCTCTAGGTAAATGGAGTGGACATCACAGGACGCACACAAGAGGAGCTGGTGGCTATGCTCCGGAGCACCAAACTGGGAGAAACTGTGTCTCTGGTAGTCGGAAGACAAGAGGAGTTTTTGCCCAGAGAACTGGTAAGACTATTGCTAAACTTCAGAGTGTAACAAAAATGAACAGTACCTTAAATTATACAGTGGTGGCCAAAATTGTTAGAACACTTGGCATATTAAAGAGGTTTCAGTTGTTTTTGTTTAATTGGCCATTACAATACCCATAAAACGAACTATTGCCGGAACTACCTGCGACGGAAGGAATCTGCTGGAACATTGAAAATGATGGACTGGCCCCCTCAAAGCCCGGGCCTCAACCCCGTCGAGCAAATTTGGGGCGAAAATAAACTGGGAGATGTGCTGCTGTAATTGCTGCAAAAGGTGGACATACCAAATATTAAAGTTAAAAGTGGATAAAAACAGTATGACTCACTTCATCTGATATTTGTTGTGCTCAGAAACCATCTGCATGTTTCATGAACATTATGAAAGTTTTGGAGGCAAAAAGGTCAATATTTTCATATCTGTCAGGTGTTCTAACAATTTTGGCCACCACTGTGTGTACAGTATGTGTGTATATATATATATTAGGGCTGTCAGTTTAATGCATTAACTTAATTAATTCGTTATAAAAAAATAACGCAATTAAAATATTTTAACGCAGTTAATGCACCGGCCCCACCCCCAGATCTGTACATCGTCTTACATTTCATATAGTTGACTGTTGACAAATATGATGCAGGGCAACAACTCCATAAATGCAGTTATGCCCTAAAATTCAAGATACTGGTACAAAAATGCCCCTGTATGTGTTTTTGTCTCATTTTTATATCATACGATATCACACGAGCAGGGAGAGCAGTAGGCTATTACAAGAGTGCTGATTTTGTCCCGAATATCACAAGTTTAAATGTGATTTTATACAACAGTTCAGTAAATAAGAAGTTGATATTGTGTTATATTTTAAA